GCGAGAGGGTGGGGGAGGGGGAGGAAGAAGTGCCGCCGCTGGATTCTGAAAATGTTTATTTAAGACGAGGAAAAATATCCACTTAAAAAAAAACCAGACGTCGCTGGCGTCACGGCGCGGCGTCTTGGTGTCCCCGGTTGCGAGTTGGTGCTGGTTTTCCCCGTTGAAAATAGGGGGTTTGAAGCGTTTTGAGGCGTTTTGAGGCGTTTAAGGCGTTTTAAGGCGTTTTGAGGCGTTTTGAGGCATTATGACCTTAAACCTAGAGTGTCTTTATACTGAGAGTCAAGACAATGTGAATCCATTTCTGATTGGTTCCCGTATTTTAGGTCTCCACGATATCACAAACGGGAATAAAGATTACATTTTCACTTATTGCAAAGATTATAATCTAGAATGGACCGAGGAATTACGGGTTCGACAAGGAACAAACGGAATGAGAGAAGGAACGGAGAAAGAAATTTGAAGATAGGTCGATCAAAGATTACGAGAAACGTTCAATTTGTGTAATCTTTATTCCCGTTTGTGACTCCATTAGGGTGTGTTGTTTTGACTCTCAGTATAAAGGGACTCTACTTAAACCGATTTATAAAAAGTAAATGCTTTAAGAGCCAGGCTTTATGTTATTTCATACGTTCAAATTTTTTTCTGATTGTGTCGCTATGGTGTGGAGGCCGCTCTTGCAAAAATTTCAATCAAAAGCCCCGCCGACACCCCACCTTCTGAAATATCTAAGGGAGGGCATTTCCTGGCGATTGGCCTCAGTTACATCTTTATAACTTAAAAAAGTGAGACACACGTGTGCCCTAAAACTATTGAGACCTATACGGGATTATCATGTAAGGAGATGACACCGTCGGCATTCATATGACAATAATCATCGAGCGCTTAATATGTTGAAAATGTTGAACAAATTCTGACCATCTCCGCAAGAGCCCCTCAACTTGTTCAGGAATAATCGCCCTTTCAGAACGGGGCTTTCTTTAAATAGTAATTTTCGCTTTTAAATTATGATTGTGGGAAGGCAACGCCCTCTCCCTGTCATCGAGGAATAGATTCCGAAGTTCATGGCAGAATCTTTAAGTCCCATTAGAGCGGGAACACTCCATTTTTGGAAGAAAGCCAATCTCATCTTCTACCAAAGGAGCGTGTACAACGACAGGAATGGATAAAATTCATTTTCACCAAGAACTCCTGACCCTTATTTTGTAATGAGTAATGATTCTGTGCAGTCGAGAGTAATACTGAACTTGGAGAGAACATTTCCTCTTCATCGTTGCCACATATGTGTTATGTAGACAGGCTCTCGGTAGGAGTATTATCACTTTTTTCTCGATGGTTCGTTCAGTTAAAAATACCTATGTACGACGAAAATTGTAGAAGTTTTCGTAGACATTGTATCATTTATTTAGTTTTTTGCTCGAATAATTTAGAAAAAGCCGCGACATATTAATTAATTGTTCAATGTATACGAGTTTAAAATAACGTGGGAAAAATCATGACGAATTTTGAAAAGTATCATTTTAGTATGCTTTTTTTAAAAAAACTGTTGTAAGCTTCCTGCAGCTAACCGATGGGCTGCCTTTTTAAACCCTCTCTACCTAAAACACATCACATTAAAAAGTCAGTTTCTAAGGATGCGACTATTCCGCCACGGAAGAGACCATTGTTGCCTACCCATGTGATTGAAGGCAAATCATGCTCTGTGTCACGGAGCGCGTTCTTGGATCCGTATAGGCATACGTTTACTTCTTTTCTACGAGTGCAAGCAAGTATAAGCAACGACAGAACTTGCACGTTGGAATTAGTTGCTTACATTTTTACCTGCCTCCTCCCCCTTTGTGCCATTGGATCAAAAGTTCTCGCAATGTAATGAAAATGTTCACCGACTCCACACAGATCAATTTTACACTTGAACGGAGAGATGCAATTGAATATTGTATTTTACCTGTCTGTAAGCAACGAAAGTTTGCTCTTATATCAAGCAAGTATTAATTTAAAAATGAGTAATTTTTTTAGTGACAAACTTCATTCTGGAGAACCATGGTATAATTATCGAGTGCATCAGTGGTCATGCAAATATCGGATAGTGCAGCAGATTCTGGTAGATTGATCTACAATTGAACGTATCTCTATCAAACGGAACTATGTGTATTAAGACATGAGCCCTGAGACCCATAAGAATACATGCATGGGCTCACGTCATAATGCACATAGTTTCCTTTGACAGAAATCGTCCAATTATTATGTTGTCATTCACTGCATGGGGGATGGATGATAAATAAAGTCATCATACATCGAAGCCGACTTATTTTGAAATCTCCATCACCTCATCCTCAGCAATTTGTGTCCAAGGGGACTTTCAAATTTCCATAGATTACTCCGGACACAAAGTTAACATTTTCAGCGCCAAATCAGGCAGCTTTGGTGGTTGATCCAAGAGAAGGCGTCATCTTGGTAGGAAATACGGAAACTGGACGTATTTCTACCAAACAGACCTATGTGGCGATGAGAAATGTGGGGTGTGCTCTAGAAATCTGCATAAGAAGCAATGTAAAAGTGGGCGTGGTTCCTTTTGAAGAATTGGCAAAGCGGGATATTGCATTCTATCAAAGAGACCTATGTGGAGCTGAGTGCGGAACTCATGAGCCGCGGGCATGGCAAGAAAGCGTTGTAGACAGGGCTCATGAGTTAAAGCGCCCCGACGACCATCTCCCCGACTCGCGGGCGTCATCATTGCCGCTGACGTCACTGGCGCACAATTATTCTCATTCACTCTTACGGCCAGAGACTAACGAGCACACCCCATATTTCTCACTTCCACATAGGTCTGTTTGGTAGAACTACGTCCAATACAAAAATACAGTCGCCACATCTGAAGGATGAGGTTGGTACCGTTCCAAATTACCCCTGACCAACTCGAGGCTCAGAGTTTAGCAGCTTTCACAATCTACTAATGGAATGGTAAGTGAAATTATCTTGGTCTCGGTCCACCCCCTTTTCCTTCCAGAGCGAATGAACGTAGGTCTATTTCAG